TGTGTTTCAGACTTGGCATCGATATTCTAGAACATATACTTAAATTCATGTTGAGATTAAACTTGAACTTGATGCTTTAACTTGACAAGGGCATTAAGGATTTATCCACTTTTCACCTAAAAATTGCCTACTCATTTGTTTCATCTAGTTAGCAATTTTTAGTCATTTCCCCTTCTTTGTGCTACCATATTTTTAAAGCAACCCTTTTTTATTTATATTTTTTATACCCTTTTTAGGATAAGAGAATGAATTACTCGATTGATGTTCATGTTAAAAAAACAGAAGAAAAAAACATGTGTTCGAGAAAAAGAAAAAATAAAATAACACGAAAAAATAGAAAAGAAAATATTGTTTTGTTGTTTTTTGCAATTTTGTTTCCTTTCCTTTATTGATTGAAATAATTTTTTTATCTCGTGGACTTGATTTTATTATATGTGCTTCTCTTGTCTTGATCATTAGCCTATATTTTTGTCTTTATCCTACCTTTAACTAAGCCTCATTACACCAGTTTAAGACCCTTTGATTATTTATAATTAAGCCTCATTACACCATTTTAATCAAAGCCTATATTTTTGTCTTTATCTAAAAGCATCATTAACTAAGCCTCATTACACCAGTTTAAGACCCTTTGATATCACAAGGGGTCCTTTAACTAAGCCTCATTTATATTTTTGACTTGATTTTCTTACATGCATATGGTGATATCATGCATAGTTCTGGCTTTTAGAGTTTTTACACTCGAAACACTTTTGAGTGAATTAAATGAACCCTTGTGAGATTGTTGAGTTTGGTTACAATGAGATTGATAGGTAAAAGAGATTTCATGATTTTTCTTAACTTTTTCCTAATTAAGTCTTTCACTTGATTGATATTTTGATTTGGATAATTGTTGTGGACTTAACTTGGATAGTATTTTTCTGAGATATAAGGTGAATTGATGGATGGTAAATAGAGGTTTTGACATATTAAATTGAAAATGCTTGAGGATAAACATTGGATAAGTGAGGGGGAATTTGATGGTTGTTCAAATTTGCCTTTATTTTGTTGATAATTATTCTTCGTTTTTGGTTTTATACTATTGATTTGGTTATATTTTTCTTTCTCTTTTTTTTTTTGCAAAAACTTAATTTCCAGAACCAAAAGCAAAACGAGTGTATTATGCATTTTACTATTTTGTAAATATGGATGGAAACATGGGCACGACCCAAGGTACAACGTTCCCAGACGTGGAAAAATTCAACGGTCCAATCAGCAACAGTTTCTGGAAAACCCAGTCAACATTCTCTAGAAAGTGGACGAGCATAGTTATCTTAGGAACTTAAGTTTGAATTTGAAAATACTTTGAGATTTATCTTCTGAATTATCTTTAGGATATTTTTGTTTTTGAATATTTGTTCTATCTTTAGGATATTTCAAGACTATAAATACCCTTTTGGGTAAACTTGAAGATATATTTTTTTTCTTATCTATTGCTTTTATAAAATTCTCCATTTTTTTATTTCAACTTTTATATTTAGTTTAAATTTTTTCTTTTCTTTTCAAAAAAAAGTTATTTATGATTTCAATCATGCTTAGCTAAATTTGCAAATAGCCAAAGGATTAATGATGACTCAATTCCTATTTTGAGAATTGAAAAACACGTAACATCTTTGGATAACATTCATTTTTTTTGAAAACTTGGACTGGCAATTGACATCTCCTTTAAAAATATTGACATTGTTATTTCAAAAAGTTGATGTTTGTTTTAATGTTGTTCTGATTTACTGCTGGAACAAAGAATCAGTTGGTTATAATTCAACTTCTTATGAAAAAACTTATTGACAATTCACTGAGGTGAATTGAGATCGGGTTTAATTCTCACTGAGACACGATAACCCGATTCAGGCTTTTCCAGTGCTTAAAGATGTATTGGTGCTAACAGCGATAGTCGTGGTTAGTCCAGTAAGGACTGAATTTCAAAGATAGACCTGAGAATATCGTTTTATCAGAGAGAAAAGTAAATTGCAAGGGTTGGGCCTTGTAGACTATAATTGAAATGTTTTTCGAAGTAAAATCTCTTTTGATGATCAATTGAAATTGAGACAAAGCGAAGCTTGAGGCTATTTTCATCTTATTGATTTCTTTCAAAAAATATTTGTTTTACTTTCACCATTTTTAGATTCTCATTCTTTATTTCTAAAAACCCATTTTCTTTTTATTAAATCCATATCAAAACAACTCGGAATTGGAAACTCCAAAGTCCTTGCGGATCGACACTACTTCTCTTTACTACGTTACTATTCATTCATTTTGAGAAATAGGAATAATCGATTTGATAGTTACGACATGTGTCAAATTTTATTGTGATATGGTTCGATTCTAACGGCGATTGCCATAGTTTAAAGTTGTATTTGTGCTAACGGCGATTGCCCTGGTTAGGTCAGCAAGGCCTGAATTCTTGAGATAGACTTGGGAATATCGATTTACTAAAGAGAAAAGTAAGTTGCAAGGTTTGGGCCTTGTAGATTGTAACTGACATGTTTCCCGAAGTAAAATATCTTTCCATGATCAATTGAAATTGAGGAAACGAAATTTGAGGTTATTTTCAACTTATGGATTTCTTTTCAAAAATTTACTTTTGTTTTACTTTCGCCGTTTTTAGATTTTCATTCTTTATTTTTAAAACCCCCTTTTCATTTTATTTTTCATCAAATCGAGATCAAAACAACACAGAATTGGAAACTCCAAACTTCAAACTCTCAAGTGCTTTATGGTCGATGGTGGTTGTGTCCTCAATCAAAGGCTTGAATATGGTTTGAAATGATGGGTACATCATCTTTATCGGCAATCTCTTTTGGTTACGCGAAATTCAAATCAATCCGTATGTGTTTAATCCAACACTCCTTCTCCATATGCATCCCGAGTATAATCCCAGATGACGCCCTCATGGTTGTTGTCAGCTCAACATCTGCAGGCATATCAAATGCATCAGGTGTGGTCACATCATCCATAGACCTGATTTCCTTCAGTGGTCCCTGATAAATAACCATGGCCATAGATTGCGATGTTAATGTTTGGTCCATCTAATCAATATATCGGTCTCCTAAATCCATGGGATCATCAGTTTCACTGATAGATACTGCGATAGGAGTAGTAACAACATCAGGCATGGTGGAAATTTTAGTAGTAACATGATATGCTATTACCTTGTCCAAAATCACTGTCGACACAACATCTCCATGAGGAGCTGGTCTTGGACTCTTCTCTTTCGTGTTCTCAGAGCTGGAAGTGCAAAATGTAGAACTCGTTGAATTATATCCCATCGAAATTCCTTGCACTAAATGAATCACGGTGTTAATTAGGATGTCCAATTTGGATGCAATTATGTCATTAGTGGCACGGAAAAGAATGAGATGCAGGTTGCTAGGGCTCAGTTATTTTGGGAACCCTAATAGGGGATAATTGACTCTAGGGAGCCTGCATATGAGAATTCATAGGTGAATGATAACCATAATCAGTATCATATTCAGAAAAATACTTGTAACGAATAATGTCTGTAAAAGGAGGGAATGTGTGCACAATAGATGGGTTGAAGGAATTTAATGCACTGACTAGTAAATCATCTCTCTTTTCGGTATACATATGGAAATTAGTTTGTTTACTCTCTATTCCATCCAAAATCTATTTGACATCATCAAGTTCATCTGATCGGTTTAGCTGATCCAAGCATACACATTCTCTTCAGTCTATGTTGAATCATTCACCTTTTTTTTTTCCCTTTTTATGAAGCTGGTTTGACTATTGATTGAGCCATACGTTCAAGCGAAATGGCATTGAAATCCCCTTTTTTTGTATTGACTTCTTCAAATGATTGTGGTTTAATTTTATGTTGTTCACACAATAACATGATAACTGATGGAAAGTATAAAACACAGTTGTTTCTGTCGATGCATTTGTCTATTCCATTATTGATAATTGCACCAACATTGATGCTTCTTCATTTGATGGTATAATGAATCAAACACATTCTATCTAGCAACACAGTGGTACCATGAGTAGCGTGTTTTAACTGACAATTGATTAAAAGAAACCAAACTTTACTTTTGAGTGTAAGAAGTTTGCGCTCCATATGAAAATTCATCAAATTTGTACCTGACCAAGTGACAACGTCAACACAGAGATCAACTATCACTTCCTTCCTCTTTTTTAATGTGATGTTTCAGCTTCACTCTGTATGGTCATCCATGGTCACTAAGATGCCCAATAGTGTGTTTATTGTGGTCGCATCCCATTAGACGAAAGCTGTTATGACAAAAACGAAATCCAACTCAGCATTATAAAGATTAGAATGAAATTTAGTAGCGAAATATATAGAATAATATCAAGATGAGAACAAAATTTCTCCTAATGCAAAGTGGAGATCATTTGTTGAATGATTTTTCCAAAAACATCATCATCGTCGAGAGAAATCGATTTTGGGAGTAGAATTGTTTTAGCATGTGCTGATTGTAGCGCTCCCTTGTAGTGGTTATCTGAAAAGCTTTTGGAGTGGCAGCGGGAGTTGAAGATGGTTGCATCAACGTCGTGAGGGACTGAGAAGAGCTGTTGGGACAGACGACCTTCTTTTTAGCACTTTAAATCTTTTCCATCATACTTTCAGCAAATGACAAAGAGTGTAGAAGAAGAAAAGGTGAAACTTTTAATAAGTATGAAAATTTGGAAAACTTGAGAGTTTAACAATGGTGGAAAACCTAAAAATAAAAGCTTTTTGAGAGTAAGGGAGAGAATATAAGGTTTGGAGAAGAAGAAAAGAATGAAATAAGGAATGTATGGTAATTGTTTAGCTATTTTCTTTGTGACATCATTCCTTCATGAGTTTGCCATAATCCAACAACCAATTTTTCCATTAATGTGTCAAGGTTCATTCTACCTATTGGTTGTTTATAGCCATCACCGTATGTTGGCTCCTCTGACCAACATTTTCAGTCTTCCTTTTTGTTGCTCATCACAAATAAAGCTATTCACACCATTGTTGGTTCAGCAAACACTTCATTCTGCACTGATTTATGCACCCACGTCTTTCTATCATCTTTATCTTTAAAGTCATCACGATGATTGTCCTCAAAGAGCACAATAGTATTACGTTCTTCAGCACCTTTGAACGAGTTGTAACCTATAACACTGAAGGTTATGTAATCGCCATTAAGTCTCATGGTCACTTCACCTCGAGATACATCAATCATTGTTTTACTAGTGGTTAATAATAGTTGTCCTAGGATTATGGGCACATCTTTATCAACTTCACAATCCAAAATATTATAGTTGAATGGAAAAGAAAATTTATTCATGCGTACCACCACATCCTTGATTTTCCCCTTAATATATGTTAAAGATTTTTTAGCCAACTGTAATGTCACCATAGTGAGCTTCATACCATTCAACCCAAGCCATTTAACAATCGACAAGGGCATCAAATTGATGCTTGCAACTGAGTCACAGAGAGCTCTTCCCATATAAAAGTCTTCAATATAGCATGGAATGCTAAAACTCCCGTGGTCCTTCAATTTAGGTGACATCTTGTTAGTTACATCAGTGCTACATTCTTCTATGGGTGTAATGGTTTCTATCTTATTCAATTTCTTCTTTTTTATCCAATAACCCCTTCATATACTTCCCATAATTGGTAATCTGAAAAATGGCATTAATGAGTGGTATGTACACTTGAACTTCAATAGAGAATCAAAATGTTGATGTTCCCCATCATGTGTTTCATCAGCAAAATGCTGAAGAAAAGGAATTTTAATTGTAGAACTGGAAGGTGTCGACAGCTTGCACTGCAGTAAAGGTGTTGACACCCTCTAAGTGCTGACATTGGGGCATTCACAATGTTGGGTATTGATGTGATGATTAGTGGTGCCTTTTCTAAAACTTTAGCCTCCTTACTTCTTCACGTATTTGGCTTAGTTCCTCCTCATTAGTTACCTCAAGCACATGGTTTTTATAATGTGTGATGAGTGACTGCAGTAAAGGTGTTGACACCCTCTAAGTGCTGACATATTTGGCTTGGATGGAAGAAGAATTCCCTTGCACTATAACCATGGTTCTTATAATGTGTGATGAGTGATTTATTTTTTTTACTTTTTTTTCATTAATTACTCCTTTTCGTCTCCTTGATATTGCTGATTTGGGAAGATTTTATTTAATTCTATGCAAGACTTTAATCTCCATAAAACAATATTTAAAGAGAAAGTTCTATAGTTGTTTTTATTTTCCAGAGTCAAGCCTGAACACATTGGGCATGACTTGGAGCATGACGATGTCCGACGTGGTAGATTTTGGTAATCCAACCAACATCAGCTTCTATAAGGTAATCCATTTCGCTTCATCTAGACGGATGGGCGGACGTCAATTGATTAAGAATTAAGATTTAGTTTGAATTTAAATGTTTAGAAATTACCAACTTATTATACTATTTTCTATTTAGGATTCAATTATTTGAATGTTTTTAGGATTATCTTTAGATATTTAGTTTTAAATATTTTGTTTATTTGTAGGTTATCTCAAAGCTATAAATACCCTCTTAAGGAAAAACTTGTGATGTACTTCACATTGGATTTGATTTGTTTTTGGGGTTTTTCATTTTATAAAAGTTCTTTTTTTTGTCGTACTTTTAGTTTTTATTTTACTTTCTTTAAAAATGCTAAGTATGATTTCTAATTTTTCAATAAGTCGAATGCTTAAGAGATGACTCAATTCCAATCATGAGAATTGAAAAAAACCTAATACCTTCAGATATCTTTCTCAATTTTCTGCAAACATGGATTGACAATCAACATTTCCATTAAAAACTGTACACTTTCAATTCAAAAAGAGCTTGTTGGTTTGATTGTTGTTCTGATTGAAAGTTAGGAGGAAGAATCGACTCGTAGCATACTCGACATCCTATGAATACACTTAGTGACGATTCACAAAGAGAAATTAAGATCAGGTTTGATTCTCATTGTGACAACATAACCCGAGTCAGAATTTTCAAACGCTTAAATTGTATAAGTGTTGGTGATGATAGTCGTGGTTTGTCAAAATAAGGAATGAATTCCAAACATTTCCTTTGTATTGTTGGTTTACTGAAGAGAAAAGTAAGCTACAAAGGTTAGTCCTTGTAAACTGTAACCGACATGTATCCTGATTAAAATACTCTTTGATGATTAGTTAGAAATAAGACAAAGAGAGGCTTGAGGTTGTTTAACTTAATTGATTTTCTTTAATTCCTCCAAATCTATTTTCAAATTCGCTGATATTATTTTAACTTTATTTTCTAATTTACTTTCTTAATTAAAACCCCCATTTTCTTTACATTTTAACCAAAGTCATAATCAATACCTCTCAACATCAGAAGCTTATAAATCCATATAGATTAACCCTTATTTTCTTTACTACACTTATTATTAATTTATTTTGATAATAAAGATTATTAATTTGACAATATATGACGCTTGTCAAATTGGCATCGATGCTGGGGGATTTTGGCAAATTACAAATATTGTTTTTTTATTTATGATTAGGAAAAACCTTGAAGAACTAGTAGATTATGAACCGTAGATCGAAGCATTAGCTCTCTGAATTTAGGGATAGAATCTTCGATAAAAGAGACAACAACGACAATGAAAACAATAACAACAATTAGAACCAACACTTGACGCTACCATCAACGTCGATACACATTACACATACGAGGAACCAGTTCCAATGGATGATCAAAAAATAAGGGAAATAGTTGTGGAACCCACTTTCAACAACCATTATGAATCACCTTCCCTTATGGTGAAACTTCGTTTTAGCTTAAAACGATACTTATCCACCTTCTTCCTACATTATCTGGATTACCCAGTGAAAATTCACAGAAGCATCTCACTAAATTTTACATTGTTTGCTCAATCATGAAACTACAATGAGTATCTGAGATTAAATTAAACTTTGCACTTTCCCATTTTCTTTAATCGATTTGGAAAGAGAATGATTATTTTACTTACCTCCCATTCTATTACAAAATAGATTGGCATGACTCGTCTTTTTATTGACAGATTCTTCCCTATGAAAAAGGCAAGTAAATTAAGAAGAATTATCCTAGGACTCCGGAAAAAAAAAGACAAAGAGTCACTTTATGACTATTGGAAACAATTAAAGGAACTCTTGTTGTCGTTGTCATTGTTGTCACTTTTATTGAAACATTTATCCTTAAATTCTACGAGCTAATGCTTCGATCTACCGTACATATTCTACTAGTTCTTTAAGGTTATTCCTGGTCATAAATCAAAACAATATTAGTAATTTGCCAAAGTCTCCGACATCAGTGCCAATTTGACAAATGTCGTATATTGTCAAATAAATAATCCTTAATCTCAAAATAAATTCATAATAAGTATAATAAAGAGAAAAATGGTTGATCTATATAGACATAAGAGCTTCTGATGTTGAGAGGTCTTGATTCAGACTTTGATTAAAAGATAAAGAAAATGGGGATTTTGGAAATGAAGATGATCGATGCTGCTTGTAGAGGAGCTCATGATAACATGACTTCAAATGCAACTAGAAATTTAATTTATATAATAGCTACACAATGTTGTACCATCCAATAGACTATTATCCAATGTTAATTCTCTTGTGGATAATAAAATAGATAAGTTGGCTAATGTGGTTAATTCTCTTGTTATAATTAAAATCGGAGCACCTAGACTATGCATAATATGCACAATGTTATACCATCCAATAGACTATTATCCAATGTTACAAGAAGATGCTACTGCACAAGTTATTGTAGTGGGTAATTTTTTGGGACCTCCCTCAAGACCTTACAATCCTCGCGTCAACACTTACAATCCGAGATGGAGGGACCATCTGAACTTTAACTATGTATAAAACACGAGACCAAATCAAGCATATCAACCAAGGCCACCTCCACCTCAGCCATATTAACTACTGAAATTCATCATTGAAGGTTTGGTGTTTTTCCAAGAGAAATTTCAAATCAATACCGAAGCACAATTTCAAGAGCTTGATAAACAAATAAGTCAACTAGAACAAGTTGTGAGTCAATTAGAATCAAAGGGGAGGTTACTGCCTCAAATTGAGCTAAACCCACGAGAAAATGTTAGTTTCATCACCCTTCGGAGTGGCACCGTTATCGCACCAAAGGTCCTAGATAAAGATGTCCCACAATCCTATAAGAGAAAGGAAGATTAAGGTCCTTCCATATCATCTCCCACGCCCTCCCCATACGTTGTACCACCTCTTTTTGGAGAAATGTGATAAGCAAGAGGAAGAAAAAAAAATCCCTGGTGTGTTCCAGAAAATGGAGATAAATATTGTGCCCCTTGAGGTAATCTGAAAGGTGCCGAGAAATGCCAAATTTCTAAAGGACCTTTGCACAACCAAATGAAGGCTTACCGACAATGAGACGGTAAACCTGGGTGAAAATGTCTTAGTCGTTTTTCAAAGTAAGCTTCCACACCAAGGTATGTTTGCAATACCTTGTAAAATCAGTAAAGTTGGAATTAAGCGTGTTGTGTGTGATATTGGTGCTTCTATAAATGTTATGCCACTTTTTGTTTACAATGTACTTATTATTCAGCCTTTAAAGGAAATAAGAGTAACAATCCAACTCGTCACAAATCTGTCATTTAATCTGAAGGACTCCTTGAGAACGTACTAGTTAAGATAAATGAATTCATTTATCTTGTAGATTTCTACGTGATTGACATGGAAAATTACCAAACCAAAACCTCCTCTGAAATTCTTCTCCATCGTCCCTTTCTTAGCACGACGCATACGCAAATTGACGTGAGGAGTTGAATTCTTAGTATGGAATTCGGCAGTGAGATTGTTAAATTTGACATATACAAGGCGATGAAGTATCCAAAGAGTGGCGAATATTTGTTTTATTAATGTTTATAAGCCTTTAGTAGATTGACAACTGTCGTTTCGGATGTCAAAATAATTCCTTATTCTCAATCAATAAATTAAGGAAATGCGTAGCAAGGAGAAGTAAGGGTCGATTCCACAAGGACTTAGAAAATTATAAATTTCTGTCTGAATTATTTATGCCAGGCGTGAAACAGTAAAAATGGGGGGATTTTAGTAAAAGATAATAAAGTGATTAAATAAAAGTAATTAAAGTAAAAATAAGAAGATGAAGATTGTGAATAAATACGGTAAAAGTAGCCTCAAGCTTCGCTTTGATTCAATTTCCTTTAGATCATCGAATAAGTTTTTCTCTTTGGGATTCACGTCGGTTACTTTGTCTACAAGGGCTATCCTTGTGACTCTATCTTGTATACCGAATACCCAAGGCAATCTTTGATTCATCTTCGGTAGTTGATTCTAACAACATTTATTGTCGTAGATCAAATACCGTTTAAGTTCGTGGCGATCGACTCGGATTGTTGTTTCTATAACCATCAATTCCGATCTCAATTCCCTCTTGGCGAAGCTATCTCGCCAAGTGTGTTCCCAGGAAGTCGAATTGCTTTCTATAAGCCGAATCTTCCTCCCACACGTTTAATCATAACAACTTCTTGAC